ATATATATATATATATATATATATATATATGTATATATATATATGCGTATATATATATATATATATATATATATATATTTATGTGTGTCTGTGTGTGTATATATATATAAATTTATTCAAGAAAAATTTACATGAGTAAATAAAGGAAACTAGAACAATATAATTATCATAAAAATGGATAAAACTGTATATGAAAGTAAATATGATTTATTAACTTCAAAGTTACAAGAAACTAATATTAATGAACCAAATAAATTGTTATTTCAAAATTATTTATACAATAGTATATGGGAGATTACAATAGATAGAATAGGATTAGGAATTCTGTTATTTACCTTTTCATTTTGTACGGTTTTTGGTAATACCCTTGTTATTATAGCTGTTGTACGTGAACGCTATTTACAGACAGCAACTAATTATTTCATAACATCATTAGCATTTGCCGATTGCCTTGTAGGCTTTGTTGTGATGCCTTTTAGTGTTATTTATGAAATTTTTGAAAAACGGTGGCTATTTAATCTAAATTGGTGTGATACTTGGCGCTCTCTTGATGTTCTGTTCTCTACAGCTTCTATTTTAAATTTATGTGTTATTAGTGTAGATCGCTATTGGGCTATTAAAGATCCTTTTAGTTATCCTTCTCGTATGACATACAAATTAGCTAGCATATTGATTACTTGTGTGTGGTTAGCATCAAGTTTAATTTCTTTTCCAGCTATTGTATGGTGGCGTGCTGTACGTACTAATCGTATACCTCATGATAAATGTCCATTTACTGTTAACTTAGAATACATTATTTTCTCATCAACAATTAGTTTTTATTTACCACTTTTTGTAATGGTTTTTACATATTATAAAATTTATCGTGAAGCAGTGAAACAAACGAAAAGTTTACGTATTGGTACGAAGCATGTGATGATTGCTTCAGGTGAACTTGAATTAACACTTCGAATGCATCGAGGTGGTAATTTATCAGATAGAAATACGATGAAAAAAAGTCGTTTATTTTATAGTCTTACTAGTGCATCAAAAAATCTGCAAGATCTACAAAACTCGCAGCCTAAAAATAAAACTTTAAAAACATATTCAACTAACACTAATACTAAGCAAAGTTTATCTGCACCAAATAAAAACTTTTCACTTTCAAGAAAATTTGCTAAGTTTTCAAAAGAAAAAAAAGCAGCCAAAACACTTGGTATTGTAATGGGAGTTTTCATTATTTGCTGGCTTCCATTTTTTGTAGTAAATCTTTTGTCAGGATTTTGTGCAAAGTGTATATGGAGGGAAGAAATAATTTCTACTGCAGTATCTTGGCTTGGTTGGATCAATAGTGCAATGAACCCTGTAATTTATGCTTGTTGGAGTAGGGATTTTAGAAGGTAAATATACTTCCATTTATTAGATAATAATAAACATTTTATGAATATTTAAAAACAAAATACATTTTATTTAAAAAATTAGCCAGTATAATTAAAATTTTACAAATACGGTCACACATTAAATTTTAAAAAAATGTTGAAACTATAATTCTTTAATTGAAAGCATTAATATTTATTTTAAATTAGAAATTTTTATCTTAACATTATTTTAATTTTTTTTAATATACACGTAAATATGAAGAATATATAAATATATAAATTTGAGATAATAATTTATAATAAATAAAACTTCGCCAAAATTGGTTTTTATTTCAATACTTCTAATTATAAATAATAAATTTTTACAAAATTTTAATTCTATGAATCTATGGACGTTAAATAAATTTTCTAAAATTATAAAGGTATAAATAGCCGCTGAAAAAATATATTTTTAATTTTCGTATTAAAATGATAAAAGACATGTGCTTGTGTTCTAAATAATATTAGATAAAATATTAAATTCAACTTAAAATTCAATTTAAAATTATTTTGTTCACTGCAACACGGGTCATGTATAATTTGCTTTTAGTACATATAATAAAATACTTAAACTCTAATTTAAATTATGTTTTTGCGTAAATGTTTTAATAATAGACAATACTTAATTTTATAATTATAGAAGAATTTTTCTATACGCCAATAGTTTCAACATAACTAAGTACGCAAACCTATTTTACAACGATATGTAAATATCTGTAAATATATAAATATTTATAATATGCAATAAAGTGTGAACAGAATATTCCTTATTACGAATTCCCTTATTCTTATTATACAAATAATCTATTATATATGGATAAAATAACCATTCAGTAGCCCATATCAATTAGAAACAAACAACTAATAAAAGATTAAATTAAATAAAACATAATTAAATTTCGAATAGTTAAAACTAATAGCTTAAGTATACAGTTAAATTAGTTAAACTAAATAATCAAACTTTTTCAATATTAACTTGGTTTATATTATTTACTTTTAACAAAAACAAAAGAAAATGAATCAGAAATAGGAAGAGAGAGATATATTAGCATAACGATTTGACTGATTAAAGTGTTTTTGTTAAAGTACATTGATATATATATACATAGTATTAACAATATAAAAGGCTATGATGATAAAACTGTTTCGTAAAATATTTTTTATATTCTATAAGAAATGCTTAGAAATTAATTTTAGAAAATCAAGGAATAGATTATTCAAGTTTAGTTATATATATAATTTCAAACTATCGTCATAGTTAAAAAAAAATAAAAACAAATTTATTTTAATTTAAATATGTTCACCTTGTCCTATATAGTTCTTATAAGATATTATATCATAATATTGTTAAAAAAATAAACATTATACATTAATGTAATGAAATAAAATACCATATGACTAATATGGGGAGGCCTATATATATAATGTAATCTACTACAAATGTCAAGATCAACATATTCTCATATATATTCTATATATAACAATATACAAAAATGATTAACAAAAGGACTAGAAAGAGACATTTGTTTTTACTTATACTTATGCACATTATTTACATCGTAAATTCAAAATCTCCATATGATAAATAACTGGAATTTGTTTATCATTATCGTTTATTAATATCAAATATGATATATAATATGTTATGGACAATATGGAAATTGCCAGATAAAATTGCAAATAAACAGAAATTTATAACAGTTCATTAGTACTATATGCTTTAAATTTACTTTATGATTTTAGAACATAAAATTAGTATTATATTAAATTATATAATATATATATATATAATATTGATAACAGATAATGTTAAAATATTATGACATTAATTCTGAAGTTTTTAAAACGTAAAAATTAATTGCATATTGTTGGAGATTGAAAAAAAACCTCTCGAATTATATTCATTAGAAAACTTTCAATAGCTATTATAAAAAAGGGAATTATCGAACCGACATAAAAATCTAAGAAAGTCTCGCCAAGGTTACTGAACGCTCGAAAAAGTTAGTACATCTGGAACATACTCGTAAACAGCTACTTTATTGCTCTTTGTACTATAAATGTAGTAATTGTTTTTAATGCAATAAATGATCCTTGCTATTTACCATCAAAACCGGGCTAGCCTGTTTACGCGAGAATATTTTGAGGCGTAAGATATTTGAAAATAATCGAGTGAAAAATATTTCCTAAAATCTATTGCAACCCGAAACTCGGCACGTGCGACGTTCGGCAATCTGCGCAGCACGTGTGCCTTCAATGCCACCAGAAAGCATGCGTTGTTGTCAAGTACAACAAATGTTGCTACTTGCATAGGCCAAGCGAAGACGCTTGACCAAAAATCACCCCCACCACGATAAGTCTGGGAGAGGGGCAAATCCTCCACTTCACACATTGCCGCCAGAGATACTCCTTCGATATTCTCATTGTATAAGCCTAATTTCTTATGAAGTGGGAAAAGGGCGTGCACATTCAGCATGCCACCGAAATGCGGCGCGCCCTGATTGGAAAACTTAGACCAGAAGCTCCTTGAGTGGGATTCATGGCAAGAGGCCTTAAAGATGGGAACAAGGCAGCGAAAAGTCGCTGTCCGCAGGGGACAATTGGAACAGGCTGTCCGCGTGGACTGTTCGCAGAGAGAATTCAAGAAAAAGGCTCGCGTGAGCAGTCAAAGCTATCTGAAGGGAAAGTTAAGTAATAGAGACTAATTGTCCATAGAAGCCAAGTCTGAAGATAACTCAACGCAAAAATACGTGTTAATAAATCAGATCGAAATTACTGCATCCCTGTGAGTATAAGAGTCATCCTGCACGCATTTGCTTTGCCGCGTGCCCTGGTGACAAACTCACCCCTGAATCAGATCAAGACTACTGCATCCCTATGAGTATAAGAGTCATCCTGCACGCATTTGTTTTGCCGTGTGCCCTGTTGACCAACTCACCCCTGGATCAGATCAAAACTACGATATCGCTGTGAGTACACAAACTCACGTTATCTACTCAATTATTGCCAGCCGGCAGCAAAACCGGCACAACAGAACCATTAATATTATCTCACACTCTTTGACAAAAAGTGTGCAGAAATTATTTACCTGTGCAATTTTCAATTTAACATCAATTCAACGATTTCAAGGCATCTTGTGCAGTGACACCTCCTATATAAGGAGCCGTTCAAGAAATCGTATCTTCACATTAGATTCAAGAAGATTCTACAACAGCCATATGTAAATTGTATAATAAATGTATAATTAACCAACTCTCACGACACTTGTACAGCCCCTTCACCTCACTCTTTCTCGAGCGTCTGCTAGGGCGGACGGCAAATTAAGCTATTGAAGCATTGGCAGTTCGAGCCAAGAATTACAGCACTATAATTTCAAACACATATTTTTAAGTAGATAGTTATAGCAAATAAAATATACTATTTCAATTTAAAATAAAATTAATGTACAAAAATTATATTTAAACATTGAGTAAAATTAAATTTTAGTAGTAATTTAGGAGTTGTATATATCCTAAGATAATTGTATGACCAACGTTTTATTTTACCATTAAGTCTATTTTATTATTTATATTTTATAAAACTATTTTGAGAAACTTTATATACATATTTTATATCAGAAAACATACATAAATTAATATAATTACAAAAAAAAATTTTTATTAACTGGTATGATATGTTCAAAAATACTATATGTATAAATAATAAATATAAACTTTTCATTATAGAGCATTTATTAGAATATTATGTTGTTGCTGTCCTCATCGAGTAAAAAAACAATATCAACGAGCTTTTCGATATAAATAATTCAGGTTTGTATTAACAATCTATATAGTTTACAGATTTAATAATAATACCAAATAACTCATAATTTTATTTAAAATAATTAATAATGTAGATGAAATATCCTATAACTTTTATAAAAATAAATAATAATCAATTGTATTGTAACCAATTGTATATAAACCAATTGTATTTGCTCTGAATTGATGCATTAACCTCCCCCCCCCCTCAATCACCATTAAACCCATGGCACGGTCTAATTCACCCACCATGATCTGTAATCATACTAGTGGTTGGAATTCCAAACAGTAATAAATAAATAAATTTATTTAAATAAATTTAGAGGCGCTCTTACCAATGTGGCCACTGGGGAAGCCAAACACTCTCTGAAGATGAAAGACACAGGCGCGGTCTGATAGACGCCTAAGACAGCGGATTGCTCTGATTGGAGAAACCTAAGGCAGAAGCGTTCACGAAGCGGAGAAGTTTGGTAGGAGTCTTTATAAGTGGAGACGACACTGGTACAAATGCTGTCTAAGTGAGGAAGCAAAGGAAGAAAGAGAAAGGCCCCTACTCTTGATATTATAGCGATCAAGCTGTAAATACGGCCACGATGGGAGGAGGACGCGTCGCTTCTCCTGTGCTGAATATAAAGGGTGTTTGACACTATCTCCTTCCCATAAAGAATACGTCAGACTACAGAACATACATTCCCTAATAAAAACTGTGCTTAAACATTGCTGATCCTTGCAAAATCAGCAAGAACAATTCATCGCCATCAACAAAGAGCATTCCGGATGGTGAACTACTTATCTCAAGATCAGATCAAGGCTACTGCATCGCTGTGAGTATTCAAAGTCTGTACAAACTAAATTGCTAATCCTGACAAAATTAGCAAGCTTTTATTACATTCCCAGTCTTTACAAGACTAGCATGACGCTATTATTATATAGCACAAAACACATTCCGTAATAAAGAGTGTACTTATACATTACCGATCCTTGCAAAGTTAGCAAGAACAATTCAAATCGTCATCCTCAAGGAGCATCTCGAGTAGACAACTTATTCAACATAAGATCAGTTCGAAGCAACTGCAGCGACGTGATTGAATATAGTGTATGTCTTTCTATAACATATAAATCGAACAAAACAAAAGTGTAACTGTAAATAAACAATTTTTATCAAAGAGGCGCATACTGTATTACTACAGCCCTTCCACTTAGCTTCTTCACAAACACCCGCTAGGGCGGGCGGTAAATTAAAGCTATCGAAACATTGGCAGTTCGAGTCAAGAAATGAAACAGGTTCGAACACATATATGTACATGAATAATTAATCGCACAACATCTACATATATATGGTGGATTATCTTCTCGAAAAAATGTAAAATTTCCTTTTGTATTGAAAAAATTATCCTGCATCTAAGCATAATCTTATAAGAATTTATTTTCAATTACCTTTATTTTTATTATTTGAGGTTTTAGATAACTTAAATATAATTATTGTATCTATTGATATTAATAAAGACTGTTACTTTCGATATCCTTCTTATTCGTAAAATTCAAAACAGTTGAATTGACTGAGTCCAAGATAAGATGAAGATTAAGTAATTCCGTAAAAACATTTATTTTAATTTATTTGTTTTTGACCAGAGTATATAACATCTTGTATACTTTTTGCGCGAAAGACGTAGTTTTCTTGAAGTGGCGACATACATTTATAACATTTTTAATAGTTATTTTCAAAATACAATGAGAGTAATATTGTTCGATATTGCGGGACCTTTTTCAATACAATATAACATCTGGCAAAACAACATCGTAAAATTTCTGTTTAGATTTCAAAACTTTCTTGCTCGCAAATATCTAGCAATAGTGTCATAAAACATCTGGAAAACCATACAATAAACAAGGAAAAACCCACTCAGTTAGGTATATGTACGAATTCGCTCCGCTCGGTAACTACTTCAAGCAGTATGTACTAGCGGACCACCCGTCAACAAGTTCTCATGCTGTCGCCAAATGCGTCATCGGCAACAAGAGCTCTTTTTGCCATGAAGACCAAGAGACGACTAGGCCCTTAATTAACTATGAAACTACAAGAGGCGCTGCCCGCGCTCTGCAAGGGAGGAGTCTCTGATTGGACGAAGAATAAGGGAAGGGGTTCAAGTAAAGTTCATGGTCAGTAAATGTATTTAAGGGGCGCATTTTTCAATATTCATCACTCTTGATATACCTCTCGAGATAACTCTTGATATAACTCTCAATACAGTACTTATTAAAATAAATGAAGTGGAAGTCCATTAACGCTGCCAAGGGAACAGTGCTTACACGTCCTAGAAGAACGACGACATACACCCGTACGTCCACTAACGCAGTTCAAGAAACTGTCGTTACAAGTTCAAGGGAGCAACGACAATCCACATATCAGAGTCCGAAGACGCTGACAGTTTCCTATTAACGTAGTTCAACACAGCTATCGTTACAAGTCCTATTGGCGGGCGACGCATTCCAACGACAAGTGTCCAATGACAAGCCCCCTTGAAGAAAGAACAAGGTGGTCCCCATTTCAATACACCAGCAGTATTCGTAAGTAATATTAATATTACAATAATTACATACTTTGCGATTCAGAGTATGACATCATCGACAAGCAACTAAGGGCGAAGAAGCTATCCCCAGAGTAACAGTGCGGAATAGATTCCAGTACGCGTCGTCAAGTTCGCGCCCGCTAAAAGAGCGTCTTTTCGGCAACCCTCACCTCAGTTCAATTTCGGACGCTTATAAAGTTAAGCAACAAACAGCGCGAGTGTCGACGAACAAAACTTCGCACCATTCTCCATTCAGATTCAAACAATCAAGCTGCATAGATGAGTATACGTTTGTCACCGCAAACACATCACTTTCAAACCAAGAATTATTTCAATAATTAATAATAGTAACACTAGTCAATATTGTCATCAATAAATAGCAGAATAAATAGCATATACATCAGCCATATTTATATTGTATTATTATATTATCCCTTCCACTTGTGACTTTTCATCGCTACCAGCCTTGGTAAAACAAGCCGGAACGGCGAATACATTTTGTACAAATATGTTTAATCATCGACTGTTACGTCTGGTGTAAAAAAGCATCAAATGCAAATATAATTGTCACTACGGTATCTTATAATTTATGAGTCGCCTAACAAAACTAACATCATATCATAAAATCTTGTTTTATTAACAAAATTGTATTAAATAATGAAAAATCTTTTATGTAATTATTGAAAACTTTCGTTCAGGATTGAACTACCCAGCAAAGAAAATTTATTTAATATGATTTCATAACATTTATATTTATTATTAATGCGTAATATTTGAAGTGTTCCTTACGAAAATTCTCGATGAAATTTAAGCTTTATGCTGTATCCGCATAGCAATAAAGGAAGATTCTCGAATCTTGTTCGGAAAATAATCCCACAATTTAACTCGTCAGCCAAACGTGCAATAAATAACTTAGAACAAAAAACCCACTAGATGTTGTGTGGGGTTGCCGGGCAAGTAAAAGGTGAATGCACTGATTAATAATTAAGACATGTCTTTATTATTTCTGTTTATTTGAATTAATTTACAAAAGGGTGAATTACAGACGAACTTTATATTTCTTACAATCTTGTGGTGTTGAAATATATTCACTTTGAATGAAGCAGGTTATAATCTATTGAATATTATCGCTAAGAGGTTAAGGTGATTGTAGTGCTCTGATCGAACACTGGAATGCTATTGTGTTTATCTTAACGCGTGTATAGTTGCCTCTAAATATCGGTCGTAAGAGAGCCGAAATGGAGGTTATGCGAAGCTGTGCGCCATCTGTGGCGGGAACAACTGGTAGTTGGAGGGATTGAGAAGCCAATCTGGCTTTTGTAGCTGGTCTTGTTCAAGAGTATGTCCGGGAAGCTTCCGTAGTTGGACTTTATCCGTCCGTCTTCTACATAAGCCGAGAAATCAAGAATGAGTACTAGCTGTAAGGACTTACTTGCAGTGTATCGTGATTTTCCAGTCTCTCTTCGGTGGCTTGTTATGACGTTCCCTTGCAATGTTGCAACTCTTTAGTTCTTCCTTGTCTCCAAGTGAGATTACAAGTGGTCAGGTCCTATGCAATCCAGTCTTAATGAGATCAATTCAACTGTACACTAATTCACAATCGTAGAAAGAACTTCTTATTAAAACTCAGCTAGCTAAACGACTCATCTCTCCGGTCCTCCTCCGTGAGAGTTGGTCGTGACTTATCCTTCACTGTAAGAAGTATTTGGCAAGAAGCGTGAGGGTACATTACGTAGTCCCTTCTTAAATGGTTCACTGATCCCGCTCCACTTGGGATCCCTTCTTCCTTTATTAATTAACCAATCAGTGGTTGATCTTGGGTCGCACAATAGATTATGCACGCCTTCATTTCCACTTCCTTCCGGGCTCAGTTCCGAATTTGCTAATTGGGAAAGTGTCGGAAGGTGGCGAGCCTTTTTCATTGGTCACCTCTCTTTGGTTGCCTCATCCCTCTCTAGGACTTGGCTAGAAGAAGGGTCCGCTTGGGCGTGGTCACTTTTCCAATACGATCGATCAAATGTGGCATAGCCAAGAACAATGCAAGGCCGAGTGCGCACGTATGGTCATTGCATGTTGTCGCACGTCGGGTTTTCGGTTGCAGTAAATATTTGTACTCAATGCTTCACGCATATCTGATATTCGTTTCGAATCTACTTTGGGGTTCTCCCGGCAGTAAACCCATTAGGTTCTACTGCACTGGGAGTATGAGCACGTTCCGCTAGAGTTTTCCAGATGTTTTATGACACTAGTACAAATAATTATGAGCAGAAAAGTTTGAGTCCTGATGTGAATTTTACGATATCGCTTGCCAGATGTTTTATTGCGAGTTTGACAGGATTTTCAAGAATTACAAATTCTAAATGTACGCAATTGTACATTAGGAGCAACAGACGACGAAGAAAATCAGTCTGTTGAATAAGTCAAAGTGAAAATA